TGCTACACAGGCTATATTTCTGCTCTTTTCCAAACTCTTCCACCCTTTCTCCTTGGCTGCGTTGTATCGCTGACTCATGGACAATAATCCCAAACCACAGGTGTCCATGTGATGTTTCTGCTCCTCCACTCACCCTCAGCCTGGACAGCCCGCAGCTTCAGCTCTGCAGTTGTGTTGGTCAGGTCTTGTTTTAACTGGAATAGCTGATCCTGCTGCACTTTGCACTTCTTCTCCAACTCATCCACCTACAAGGAAATTACCACCACAAAGGAATTTCGTTTCCTATTAGCAGAGAAAGTTGGCTGTACAGAACAATCAGCAGAGACACAAACAAGGATCAAAGTAGGGGACATATATACACAGCAGAAGTGAATAATGTCCAAGTCCTGCTCCTCAGCCTTGGACTTGCTTTCCTACCTGGTTTCTTAGAAGCAGATTTTTCTCACTGGCAGCAGACAAGTCACGCAAAAGTTTGCCTTCCCGATCAACACCTTCCTGCAAACAGAATCAAAATTAAGAACCTGTATTCAGCTCTTGCACTGCCAACCTGCCCCAACCAACACCACATGTAACTAAATCCCACCCACCCCATAAACACCATTGCTCCTCTCTACACCTCACACTCACCTGCCTAATTTACATAAGAACTTCTGTCATGGCAGCTGTGGTTAACCCACCAGCGGCAGAAATCATGCTTGCCTATCCCATCCAGCATCCCCCAAATCTACACAAACCAGGTATGACCTGGAATACTGCTCTCAAACCTAGCTAGGACTTGTCCAGCTCACCTGCTTTTGCTGCTGGAGCTCCATAAAGTGGCACTCAGCCATGCTGGTTTGCTCCTGTTTTGCAGCATTCAGTAGCTCTCCCAAGTTGTGCACCTTCTGCTCAGACAGAGCCAGGGCAGCTTCAGTCATCTGCAGCCTATACAGAGAAACACTTTCCAGAGTCCTTTCTAAGGGAGACACTTCCAGAGAGCTCTCTGCACCACATGGTACAAGATGTTAATATATATTTGGCTGGATGAAATCAGGCTGGCTAAACGAGGCATTTTTTGCCCCTGGGAAAAGGACATCACTCACCCAGCAACCTCTGCAACCAGTGTGTGACCTGGGACTTCTCAGAGCCTGGTGTTCTGGTGCCCCATCATGTTTTCCCTGTGTTGTCTTCCATGAGCTCTTTTCCCCACCTGGACCCCTCCAGGATTTGCCAGCTCTCACAGGAGAGCAAAGTTGGCTATTTTATACGACTGCAAAGTTTGTTTAAAGTCAGGGATAGAATTTTAAACACAAGTAGCAGAAGCTATTTGCTTACTCTGTACATGAGGGACACGTCCACACTGAGGCACGGCATAACGAAACTACCTTTACCTGACAGAACTGAACGAGCCAGGCTCTTCAGTGTTTGAAGTCTAACCACTGTCATGTGCATATGGCTTTACATAATCATAGAATCATATTATAGAATCATAGAATGGTTTGGGTTGGAAGCGACCTCAAAGACCATCTCATTCCAACCCCCCTGCCATGGGCAGGGACACCCTCCACTACACCAGGGTGCTCAGAGCCTCATCCAACCTGGCCTTGAACACTTCCAGGGATGGGGCAGCCACAGTTTCTCTGGGCAACCTGTTCCAGTGCCTCACCACCCTCAATGTAAAAAACTTCTTCCTTATATCTAATATAAATCTCCCCTCTTTCAGTTTAAATCCATTGTCCCTAATCTAACACCGCTTTTGGGCAGCTCCACCTCATTGCTCCTAAGCATACAATCTTGCTGGTCAAGTTCCTCCATACCTGCAGTGATTCTAGAGGATACTGCCAACTTCCAGGGGAAGCAGGTGCAGACTCTTGCCAGGCTGTAAACTGTGCAAGGAACATGCCCCCATCCCCATGATCCTTTTTTTCCTTTTCACTCTCTGTAATTCACTTGCTCTTACACCAATGCACTGTAATTTTACTTAAAAGCAGGCTAAGTCTCTAGAGTGGCAAACCCAAAGGCCTGATCTGACCATAATTTCTGCATATTACTGCAAAACTAAGCAAAATAGTAAGCCAGCCACTCTACAAGATCATCTCCCTTTTTAACGCATCTGCTTAGCACTGCCTGTGCAGCACAGAGCAGTGGGAAGGCTAAGGTTCTCCTCCTCCATACTTGGCTTTCAGTGAACTCATAATAGAGTGCTGTTCATCCAACGCTTCCTGCAGCTGGCTGACTCGTGCTGCAGACACCCTGCGTTTGGGGGGAAAAAAAAAGGTAGGTAATTTCTGCCAGGAAACAGAGAGGGCCCATTTCTGCTATTAAAGACCAGAAAGCACTTAGAAATTCAACTCACCTGTCACTCCTGACTATTTCTTCTCTCTGCTTGTCTATAGTGTCCATCAAATCCAAGAACTGCGAACAAGGCAAACGTCAGTGAGAAAACAAACGACATCAGCTTGAAGCACATTTTTCATCTTTCTCTTCCTAGTGACAGCTGAAGACAGGTCAAGTCGCTCTCTTGAAAGCAAGCAAACTGGAGCTTTGATGGGTTCATTAGTACATCGGACTGAGGTCATCATCTATAGGGACTCTGCACTATTAGGTGTCAGAAGGAAAAAAGACTCATATTTCTAGGTTTTCACCACTTGGAAAATATCAAACCAGTTGCAAAAGAATAACCAAAAGCACGAATATGGGTGAAAAAAATCACCAAAGCTCCTCCAGAATCCAGAGTGAATATGTTCAGAAGGGCATGTGTCCATACCCATACTGTCATGGATTTGATTCTTGGGCAACCTGGCTCAGAGAAAGGACTCGATTTACTAAACCATGCTGCGTGCCCACTCATAACGATGCACACGTAACATCAGGTGCACAATAATCCTGTCACTGAGTGTTTCATGGGAACACCAAGGGAAAGCATAGGATTCCAGCTGCCCCATTTGAACTGCCAGCATGTAAGACTGCTGACCTGCTTGGTCTTCTCATCCTTCAGACTCAAAACCTCCTTGTTGAGTATGTGTGTTCGGTTCTGGGTCTCCCTCAGGATAGTCTGACGGTCTTGGTTGTGATCCATGGCTTGTTCTGATGCAGAGAGAGCAGGAAAGCATGCACATGTTTCTAAAGCAACAGAACAGCAAGCACTGCTGGAAGAGATGGCACTCAGGCTGACACTCGGCTATCGGAAGCACCAAGACAGTAGCCCTTCTCGGGCTGGCCCACGTAGAGAGACTGCTCTCACCTTACAGACACAGGGTGAGGTGAAACTGAAGAGAGCAGTGTCCATGGGGTAATCAACACCCCAGTCACAGGAGAGCCACTGAGTTCCACTCTGGGTAGGACAACGGCAAAGGACATGCCGCATTAGCCATATCCAAACTCGGCTACTCAGAGGCAAACCAGAGTCTCATGTTCTCCCACTTTAGTCGTAGTAATCTCTAATTCAATCCGAATTATATTTTTTCTTCTTACTAGTAAAAGTGACACCTCCAACCTGACCAGCCCTCACTAAAGGACAAGAAGAAGTGATGTAGGGCACTGTATAAATGCTGTTGAGAAAGAGAGTGGAGCAGCAAGTGCCCAGTATCCCTCAAGTGCTGAAATGGGAAAGGAGTTACTGATCCTTTCCCGTGCAACAAGTAATACTTACCCACAGCTTTCAGGATGTCACTAGGAACATTGTTCCCAGCCAGCTCCAGTCTCTTCAAGGTCTTGTTGCTGTGCAGGCAGTTCAGCAAAGCTCGGCCACCCAGAAGCCCAATGTTATTCCAGCGTAAATCTATATAGAAAGCAAACTTTCACCCTGGTAGTTGCACATCTGCTGAAAAACACAGGGCTCAAGAGAAAACATACTTTTTATACATCTAAAAACACAGCTCACTAGTCCCAGATTGTCTCAGCACAAACACAGGTGAATACTATCTCCCTTTTCAAGCTGAATGAGAGAGAGGGAAAATGACAGACAAAGCAGGAAAGGCAAGGATGGATCTTAAGTGCAGGAAGCCATTACAGTTCAAAAGGTACACAAGTCTGCCCCTCGCACTTTCATCTCACAAGCCTTCCTTGCACAACCACAATCTGCGGATGAGAAAGAACCAGCACCAAGAGCCATGTTTTCTTGAAGGCAATTCTGGCAAAATTCCTCACTAAGGAATTTTAGTGAGGAATTCCTCACTAAAACTACGGACAAAGTTTTGTGAAGGACAAAGTGCGAAGTAAGTCTCAGAGTCTGGCATGACGCATGCCAAGAGCATCCACAAACGGGAACAAACTCATCCCCTCCTCCACTAAGAACTGTTCTGCTCCAAGAACACAATCCTCATCCACAGGTTTGGTTCCAGAGATTCGAATTACAGTTCCCACTCTCCAAAGGCCATGGGGCTGTGGCCTTTACTCTCTGCACAAAGCCTGTAAAGCACTCCATACTGACAGCAACTGGGGATGACACGGACCAGTTGGCAGAGCAGGGCAGTCTGCAACAAACCTGAAGATATATGTGCGTGTGCGTGTGTATATGTAGGTGGGCAAAGAACTAGTCACTCTTACCGAGCTCCTGAAGGCTGACATTCTGCTTCAGTGCCACGGCCAGCTCTCCAGCCCCTTGATGGTTGATCTGGTTATTGCGCAGATCTAGCCGCTGGAGAAACTTGTTTGCTCCCAGTCCTTGGCAGAAAAAGGAGAAGCCCTCCTCCCACATGCCAAGGCTGTTCCATTCCAAGATTAGGCTAGGGAAAATCAGACAGGATTGGAGGTCATGAAGTAAATGGACAGTTGCAAGAGCTTGAATAACACCTGGATCATGGTACCCACTCAAACACCCAGCTCTGCTAATAGAGACTCTGTTTCAGACAGCAGGATGCTGCTAGGGCCCTGCATCCTTGGAAGGGGCACCTCCAGTTCTCACTCTTTCACCTGTCCCATCCTTCACAAGAAATTGCACCACTTGACATTCCTCCTACCCCAACAAAAACCACCCTCAATCCTTTTCTAATGTTGTGTTCCATCTTGCAGGAACAACAGAAAGAGAGGTAGACACAATTTTTTTACCTCCTGATGGATTTGTTCTCCCTAAGAAGTTTTCCCAAAGCCTCAGCTCCCATGGTTCGCAGGTTATTTCCCTGAAACAAAAGTCCCAGGTGATCAGTAGGCTACACCCTGTCCCAAATCCAGCTATCCCATCAAACACCACCTGGTGCACCCCAGCTATACCACTGATTTCAGTCTGTCAAAGGTGGTCTGAGTAACACTTGTTTCATGTATCAGTCAGCTTTCCAGAAAATTAAAGAATCTGAGAGAACAGCGGATACATACACTGCTAGTCTTGTAAGGCGTCATGACTGAGAGCTCACAAAAATCACAGGATAGCACGGGGCCAGCATGGCCCACGATGGGACGGAAAACGCGATTCTAGACAAGCAGAACCATCTCAACACACTTCATTAAAAAGGGCGTGGCCAGCACCAGCACAGATGAGAAAGGTGTGATGCAGTTTAGACTGTAGATTCAAAGGAACAGATACGCGCCAGAGGAATACAGACCGAAAGTCACTCTTACAGTAGAGTGATCATCACATCTGAAAGTGCATGCTTAGTTCCAAGCCCCAGGCTAGCTGAAAGACACTGGCAAGCTGGATAAACTCAACGGAAGCACAGGCCAAACAACCAGTAACTCACTGATTAATACAGAACCCCAAAGAAAAGCATACATGTGCCTCATCTCACCAAGCAGCAACTGACAAAAGATATACAGCAATAACTTGCTATCGGAACAGAGTAACTGAATAAAAACAGGCAAAGGTGAGCTGCAAAGTAACTTTGGAAAGTCGTGACATGGTGTTAAGGAGGCAAGGACTCAGTACTTGAGGACAAGAACTTTACAGAAGTACACATCTTGTAGAACAATCCTGCAGGACAATCCAGGACTGTCTACTTCTAACTCTGATTAAGCTTGTGCTCCTATTTCCTTCCCCACCTCTTTGTCTTAATTTTATTCAGACTCACCTTCAAATCCAAAGATTTGACTGTGGTGTTGGAGCAAAGACCATGCAACAGAAGTTTTACACCTAAGAAAAAAAACAAAACCAGAGAGTTGTTTATTTCATATACATAACCCTCTGCCTGAGCTGGAAGAGAAGGCATCCTTTCAAGCAGC